GCATGCTAGCATTTGATGTAGTCTTGCTTGCCAACTTCATTCTGAACCATTGTTGTCAACTTAATGAAATTCTTGCCAAATTCTCCCGTGAACTAGCAAGCGGTGTGTGCACGAGGAAACGACGAAGGAACGTAGAGATCAGTCCTATTCGTGCCTAGCCCGTAGTTTGGCTCCTGATGATTAAGTTATCTCTGCAATAACGTGGTAAAGCGAGTGAGATAAGAGAACCTTGAAAGGGATTTTAGGAGGTAAGCGACTCTATCGGGGCGTCCTTGGATGCTGTAGTTGAATCTTGAATTATTGTTGTTTCTGGAAATGTTGGGAACGGTTCCCGTGTTGCTGCTGGTGCTGCTGCTGTTTCTGGCGGTGCTGTTTATCGTACTCGTCTTGCTACTGCTTCCGCTGACATTGCGGCTGACGCTTTTGCGCGGAGAAGGTGGCTTTTGAGCGCTGATAGAAGCAAAGAAGGTGGAGGGAACGGATATCTGAATAAGACAAGCCATCGCTTGCAGACAAGCGAGAGACGTAATGGGAGAGAGTCGTCGGCGGAAGCTAGACGGAGGACGGAGCACAGGAGGTCGTCTAATAAACGGTTGACTGGCGGAGTTGCCGCGTTAGGTGACGTCAGCAGATCGTCAGACAGACGGTCGGAAGCAACAGTCGAGGATTCGTCCACCGATGTGTCAAAAGAATGTGGCATCTCGGAGGTAAGGTGAGCAACAGCGCAGTGAGAAACTGGCGCCGAAGGCTCACTGGGGGCTTCACCTGGGCGTGTCGCCGGAGAGTACGGGCTAGGAGGTGCTCGACCTGACCAACAAAATGATGGTCACGTCGTTCGAGGTGTCTGTTGGCAGGTGTACATGCGTCCGCCCCGACGCCACGCCCAGGTCGACAAGCCTGCAGATGAGGCTTTTGTTTGTGTAAGGGCCTAATAAACTCAAGCTATTAGGACTTAATCACACTTAAAACCTCTCCTCGGGGTCACCTCCAGGGGTCCTTGGGTGCCTGGTACAAGACCAGCCCCTATCCTCGGGTCCGAGTTTGTAGAGAGAGGGATCAAGAGGGACTTAGTCAAAACAGCAAGAGTACCTTGAACGTCACGCAGCGTTTCGTGCAGACCATCGATCGGATTAAGCTGAGAATTTCCTATATCGAAGCTTGCTCCAATAGCTTTAAAATGAACCAAGTTGCCTCGCAAAAAGTTCTGCCATTACGAAGTTATGGCCCGGACAGCGTTTGCCTAGCGTTGGAGTGCTAGCGTACTAGCGTTGACTCGGGTAGCATTCCGCCGTCGCACCGCGTACAAAGGAAATTCCAGCAAGGAAGGAATTCGCTTGAATCAAATTGACTATATCCAGGTACAAAGAGAAAGAATAAATAGTTCTAGCTAGCAAGGACCTTGGGAATAAACCTGGGAACCACCAAAGATGATCCCAAATAATTACAAGCAACAGAACCAAACTGGCTGGACAAAACAGCAGGTTGTACGTTGGTAAACAACCTCTGGTTCTGTTTTTCCAACCTGGGAAAACAACAACCAGGTTCAGGTCCTAAAAACAGAACCTGGTTTGTCTTTGCCCAACCAGCCAAATGCTGGTTCCGCTGGTTTCCCCTGGCCCTGTAGCAAGCAGATACAGACAAACAACATCCAACCTTCACCTATTTTGTACCCCGATAGTGCCTGCCCTGCTACACTATAGTCAACCAAACAAAACAGTACAATTTCGAGTTGGATAGAACTGAAGTTGCGCAATCAAGTAAGCCGAACCGCAAAGCTTCCATCTTGGGTTCCTTTGTGAGCTCGTCCTTTCTGCTTGTACTGTTCATAGCGCATACAATGTTATGCCGAAGTGCATAATGCACGAGTATCTGCAAATGCATCAAGCGAAAATTGCGAAAGCAAACAAACACACGAACATTCCATTCACACTCAAATGCATTCGCACACGCATACTCATACAAACAGACGGCAGGATGTCGTGCAATGTGAATTTGCACCCAACAGCTTTTAGCCGCCTGTTTGCCCAAGAGCCGAAGAAACCGCAGTGTGTCACGTGCCAGGGCCCCATACGTCTCCACTGCAAGCCCGAACATTCCCACGAAATCCGCGCGGCCCTCATACATTCCCCTCTTCCCTTTCGCTTTGTCTTCCGCCGCCCAGCCAGGCGGCTTTACCGCCCTGGTGTCGCGGCGCTGCAGTATGGGATCGGTCACCATGACGTCGGTTACGTACGTCTCGGCCGACTCCTTGTCCTTGATGGCCAGGTCCGCTCTCTTGGGTTTTGACTGGTTGCGAGTAGACCGTGGTCTCATGCAGGGTGAGTTAGTCAGCTTCCCTGGGCATGCACAGCGCTGTATACACTAGAATATTGTGTATGTTTGTCCTCTCCTTCCCTTCCCCACACCGCAGCAGGTGGTTTGGTAGGCTCAGGTCCCCAATCTTCCCCTGCTCCCCCTGGTACAGGCAGTTGTCGGTCACCGACAGAGTCAATCCCAGGCGGAAGCCCAGGGCTATAGCAAACAGTCCCAGCGAGAACGTCAGGTCTGCCCGCGTGGGGATGGCATGAAGCCAGTCCCCCGCCCCCACCCCTGTAGGCTAATCAATTGGATTACATGGCCGTTTTCCACGGGCTTGTCCATCCGAGTGTCGCCTACCAACTTTGCCGCGCGTCTAAGGTTGATGTGTTTTGACAGTTGCTCCTATAGGCGGCCCTTCCCTCCTCTGTTGTCCCCTGTCTCCCTTAGCAGTTCCTGTGCTTCCTCGAGAAGTCTGTTCCTTAGGTCCCGAAATGTCGCTCCCCCCTTCCCCGCCACTCCCTCACCAAATGGTGACACCAGGGCCGCCACCTGCTGCAGCTGGTGGTTTGGGGAGGGCGGCATTTGCTGAAGTAGCATCTGCGCCGCTTTTAATGACGAGAGGTAGGCCGCCGGTGCTTCCAACAGAGGGTCTATCAGCCCTACGCCGCCAAGCGCAATGGGCATCGTCGCCTACCTCCACACCAGACTCTGTTCCAACTCCTTAGATGGTACATTGATGTTGGCCGCCCTTAGTGCCGTCCACAACAATCTTTCGCCACTCCCTAAGGGGTAGGACGCCCGCTGGCGTAGTGCACAAGAGGTAGGAAATCCTGCGCAATATGCATCGGGACAGGAGCAGCATCGCGTGTTGCGGGTGCAGCTTGCTGACGAGGCTTAGCGGTAGGGCAATCCTCTCCAGCGAGGCTCTTAGCGTGCGTCTGCAGTACGCCACCGTGCCAATCGGGCTACCAAGGACCTGCACTCCGTCCACCGCTGACGCCAATCCTTCCGGTAAGTCTCCTGTATGTCCCGAAGGGCTCCACGCCGATGACTTGGCGAGGTTGCACCGCAGTCCCAGTCTGTCGAGCTCCGCACTTATCATGTTGAATGCTTTCGTCGCTGCCGCGGGTTTGCCAAAGACCGAGATGTCGTTTGCGTACGCCATCACAGTCACTCCTGGGACCGCTAGCGCCGCCGCCAGCAGGGCCGGATGTATTGCTGATACGAAAAGCATAGGGCCGGACGGGTCTCCTTGTCTGACGCCTCTGGCGCTTTCGATTGAGGTGACGGAGAAGCCTTTGTCCAGCAGCAGCTTCGAAGGCGCGCCGTATAGCGTTCGAACGAGGGGCAGCAAGGAGATCAGGCCGGTCCATCGTAGCATCGACAGGAAAGACCCGCCCTCCACCGAGTTAAACGCATTTTCAACGTCTAGTTGTAGGATTGTCCTTGACAGATCTTCCTCCAGCAGCGTTCGGAACGTGTGTATGATACACTCTGCTCCTTCCGAAATTGCTACGCCGTTTTGTACTGGCATGAAGTGCGAACGGATTCCTCCTGACAGTTCCCTTAGTGCCGCCTTCGCCGCTAGCCCGAGAAGCGCCTCCCCAATCGCGATAGGCCTTACCCCGCCGTCCGATTTTTCCAGGGCAATTAGCCTCGATGATAGTAGCAACTCTCTTATTGGCTCGTCCTGAAAGTTACCGAGTAGGTTGTTGACTACTTGGTGTAGGAGCATGAAGACCTCCCTGTTTGTTAGTGCTGGGTCGCAGAGGTGTTCAAAGCACGTGCCCAAAGGACCTGCGCCTATTCCATTTGGGCACCTCGCCAACACTTCGCGGAGTGATTCTGTGCCGATGGCGAGTGCGGTTTCACCGCAACCCCCTAACCCTTCATGTATCGCCACCTCTGCCCGTGGGTGTTTCGCCCTCAGTGTATGCAGTGCCTCCTGCGATGGTTCCGCCAACGGCGAGGTTTGTAATGCAGCCGCCGCCTTCGCCAGGTTGGCTTTCCGGACCAACCCCTCTACCCTCGCACAGATGCCCTCCGTGTCAGGTTCGTGTCTCCTCGACTAGGAGATGGCTGGGATGGTGCAGGCTTGGAGGTACAGTCCGCTCCAATCTTTGTCTCGGAATTGTCGGAGCCGCGTCGTAGTTATTTCCCGGCAATTTCTCCGTGCTAGCCCTTAGTGTAAGTCTTGGCAGGAACTGCGAAATCCGGCATGCTCCCATGTAGCCTGGGTGTTTCGCCAGTCGCAGCAGGGGGATGGTGACGCAGTGGCTGAAGGATTTCAAAATTTCCGGTGGAAGCTTCCGGATCAGAAAGAGTTGGGAACTGGCCCTGAGTGGGTCGAGATCCCACCTCTCCACCATACGCCACTAGTCGGCGTCATCTGTGATGTCACTAGGTGAGCGCTCTTTGCTAGCGGGCTCATTTGCCTGCTCACTGGTGATTCGCCCACCTTTCCTGCTGCAGCTGCATTCCTTTCTTCTCGCCCTCGTCTACCGCCATGTCCCCGTCTGCCCTCGTTGTCCGCGGGGACCCCATCATCGGCTTCCACCGAGACCTCTTCCGAATCTGCCTGTTCCTCCCCAATATCTTTTGACGCATTTTCTTTAGCAGGGTCATTTATTGGCTTTGCGTTCTGTTCCTCTGGCCTCCCGTGTCTTTCCCGCTAGTTCCTTGATCTGACTGTTTCCCTTGCGATGGATCTCGCAACCTCCCCCACGCGTCCCCCCCTGCCTCGCCCCCTCCCTCGTCCCCTTGTGGCCGCGTTTCTCGCCGCGTTTCGCGGCTTCTGGGCCATCGCACGATCTTCCGCCTGCTCTCGTAAGGTCCTCTGTCTGCTCGTTTTGTACCTCTGTCTTAGCCACATTGCCGCCGCCGACGCTATCGCCTCTTCCTCCCTGTTTTCCTCCCTATTCTTCTCGAGCCGCTCAGCTGTCTGGTGTTCCTCCTCTGCTCCTCCTTGTGCGTGCAGGTCGTGGTTCGATGACGGGCAAGCGCCAACCCTCCTCCCGGGCGGACCGCCCGGCTGGCCCTCCTATTGCTCCCAGCCTCTCAAAGGCCCCAGACGGGCTGGCGCCAGCCCTGCTCCAAGCCGCCGCGGCCCTGGTCGAGCGCGAGGGGGCCGGATCTCCCTCCCGTCGTCGAGAGTCCGTCTATCACTCCCCTCGCGGGCGGACGCATCCACATCTCCGGGCCCGGGGTGGCTCATTCCGTCGTCGTCCCTGCCTCGGCATCCTCCTACTGTCCAGCGGGAGATCATCGGGCCCTTGCTTCGGACGCGCGGTCACCATCTCCCGGGCGCAGGGCCGTCAAGCCTGCCGTCTGCCTCTCTCCCATCGTCTCAGCAACTGTCATCAGTCCCCGCCGAGTCGTCTCCCTTGGCGTCGCCACCCCCTCCTGCCCCATCGATGTCACCCTTGGTCCCGCGCCTCCTTCTGTGGCTCCTCCACCTCTGGCGCCTTCAGATACGGCACCCCCTCTGTTTCCCGCTCGTTCGCCGTCTCCTCCGGCCGCGGTTCCTCTGGTTGAGCCTCCCCAGGGGCTGCATCCCCTGGTTCCTCCCCATCCCGCCCCTGTCGCTCGCTTCCCTCCGCCTCGTGGCCAGTCTCCCCCGCTTCTGCCCGACGCACCTGATCCTAAGGACGACAAGACGTGGTGGAACGGAGAGCTGTGGTAGTCTCCTCCTCAGTCCGAGACAACGTGGGGTCGGGACTGGGACATGAAGTCCGACTTTGTCCTTGACGTCCTCCACTGGGAGCGTCGCATGATCGGCGTCGGCGAGTACCTCTCTTACGTGGCGACGGAGTTGGAGCAGCTGCACGCTGGTTTGGAGGCACAAAACTCCATGCTGCGGGATCCGTAGCTGATCGAGCAGCAGCAGGGTGTTGTCCGTGCGGCTGCGGCGCAGGGCTTGTGGAGGCTCCTCCGCTTGCGTCTTGAGTTCAAGCATCCTAACGAGAACGAGGGGCCGGGCTCGAGGGCTTTCCGCAGGGTAGCCACGGCTGCCGAAGAAATGAACCCACGAACTGAATAATACCCACCAGGCCCACGGCCTTATATAGCAGGGGTAAGGGCGGCAGAGAGGCTAAGGGACTAAGGGACTATGCCTCTCTCAAGCAGTCCTATATTCATATGGTTTATAGGATACAAGCAAGGCATCGGTGGTACGGCCAACGCTATGTGAGTAGTACCTGGCCTACTCTGGCATGCATTCCTTGCCATATCTCTGCTCCCCCTGACCCGCGGCAGCCCCCAGCCTGCAAGCTATCCCTACAGCCCCTCCGTAGTGGCCCATCCTAGCCCTGTTCTCGCCCTCCGCTACTACCCTCCCACCCTCTATATTCTTAGGTCCCACTCTTCCTCCACCTTATCCTCCAGGACCTGCCATAGGTCCCCCAGGCTTGGCTCCCAAGGGTCGGCCCATGCCTGTGGGTATGCTGCCTCTGCCGCCCTGTTGGACTTTGCCAGCATGGCATTGGCTTAGCAGCGCTGCAGCATTACCGACCAGCGCTGTCGGTAGTGCGCAGTCAACCTAGAGGCAACCGTGGTCAGCCTCCCTTGGCGGTGCTTCTTCCTGGCTGCGCTCGTGCCCATAATGCGGAAGAATTTTTGGGTGTCCTTCGCTAATCCCCCATATGTTTCTACTGCAAGCCCGAGGGCCCCCGCATACTCCGGGCGCTCTTCATAGAGTCCCCTCTTAGTCCTGGCTGCATCCTCCGCTACCCACCCTGGTGCCTTTTTGCCTCAGGTGTCGCGTCGTTGCAGCACTGGGTCGGTCACTGTCACATCTGTGAGGTAGGGACTATGCCTCTCTCTCTCTCTCTCTCTCTAATGGTCCGTGCATTGATATAACCAAAGGGTACATGCATGCAAGGCTAATTCTAAGACTAAGAGGCAAACAAGCATAGAAACTAACAACCAAAGCAACAGTGTCTCTCTACACCTCCATGAGAGGCTCTAGTACGGTACAGCAGTCTCCGAGGTGAAGCTCAGACTATACCCCCCCCAGAGGGGGATTTTCAGCGACGGCCGCCTGAGAGGACTTGATGAGGAATCCCACTGACTGGGCTCTTTGTAGAGCCACGGACCAGCGTTGCTTGAAGAGATGAAGGAACCGGGCTGCATGGTGAGAGGTAGGTTGGGCGTTGAAGTGATGCCTAGCAGCCGTATCCGCGAGTAACTTCAGAAATTTTGGGACTTCCGCACAGGGGCAGCCATAAGTTTCAACTGCAAGGAGAAAGAAGCCGACCGTGTCAGGCTGGTTAGCGTATTGTTTGATTTTCTTATCTGTCTGCTCCCTTGCTGCCCATCCCCTCCCCTTAGTAGCATTGGGATCCCTCGTGCTAATTGGATCCATGATGGTGACATCACAGGCGTAGACCGCCCCGGAGCTCTTATCACGCATGGTGAAGTCGGCAGTCTGCTCTTCTATGGGGCAGTATGCAGCTGATTCACTCTCAACTATGAAGCCAGCATCATGCGCCATCGTAATACACGCATCCCTCAGTTCATTGTGGGTGTTGATTCTGTGCTTGCCCATGCCGCAGCGGAAGAGGTGGTTCGGCAGCAGTGGATCCTTGATCTCTACATGCTAAGAGCAGTCACAGTTTTTGGGTGTAGAGAAGGCAAGCCCTAGTCTGAATTGCTCGGGACCTACTCTGCGGGTATGTTCTATCGGGACTGCAGTCAGCCAGTCCCTGGTGCCGTAGCCAGTCAGAGAGAAGAATCGTTGGGCATGGCCTGACAATGGGTTCAGTCGCATGCGCCGAGTTGCTTGTACCTGTTTGGCATATCTCTTCCCCTGCACTCTCACCCCGAGCTTGTGCTGCAGCTTTAGGTCTGAAGGCTCGAGTCTCTTCTTGTCTAGAACGTCCTTGGCCTCCTGCGGCAGTGTTCTATCGCATTCGGCCAGCCAGCGGTGTAGATTGGTGGTGTTATCTCGCGGAAGTAGCATGTGATTCCTCGCCGCTGTCAAGGCCACTTCTGACTCCAGCGGCAGGGCACTAAGGAAGCCGAATGTTCCCTCCACCGTGGGGTCTGTGAGTCCTATGCCTCCTAACGACGGTGGGAGTGACGACAGCTTCCAAACCCTGGTCTGTTCTTCTCCGTCCGATGGTAAGCGTATGCCGCATGCTGTAAGGAGGGTGGCCAGCAGGTCCCTACCCGACTGGAGCCAGATGTCTCTGTCCAGAAGATTCAGATGGGTCGTTGGCATGAGATACGCTACTCGACGTGAGATGCAGCGAGTGAGCAGGAGAGATGCGATCTGCGGGTCCATTCGTTCTATTAGTGGCAGAGGTTTGGACATCGATTGGAGCTGCGCGAATAGGAAGGAGGTGGCACCCTCTGGTGTTCCTGGGAAGCTACCGAGAAGCCGGACACCCTCCGTGCTAGTTGGCACCCCGGGCGGCAGCTGCACTTCCTCGTCTATCGTGTGGTTGCTCCATGCGACACATTTCCCCGGGTTGTGTCGCAGACCTACTTGGGATAATTGGTTCGTGAAATGCGAAAAGGCAGCAATGGTATCGAGGTGTTCGCACAAGAAGCTGACATCATCCGCGTATGCCAGACACAGTACGCCGGGATGTGCTTGTCAGAACATTATAGCTTATGCTTTTGTGTAGGCTATAGTGGGGTATCCCATAGGGGTTACAACCCAATTAGGGTTAGTACTTGTACCCACTTCACTCATAGTTCATTCATTCGCGTTCACTCTTTCACATGGAATCAGAGCAGGTCCCCTCCTAGGGACTGTTCCCAGGGCCCACCGAAGCGCGCCCCGAGGCGCGCGTTCCTTTTTTTTAGCGACCCTCCGTGTCGCCCCTAGCGGCCCGTTACGCCGCCCTTACCTACGCGGCCCCGCCGCCCTTACCTACGCGGCCCCGCCGTTCTTACCTACGCGGCCCCGCCGCCCTTACCTACGCGGCCCCGCCGCCCTTACGTCGCGGCCCCGCCGCCCTCATGTCGCGGCCCCGCCGCCCTCACGTCGCGGCCCCGCCGCCCTCACATCGCGGCCCCGCCGCCCTCACGTCGCGGCCCCGCCGCCCTCACGTCGCGGCCCCGCCGCCCTCACGTCACGGCCCCGCCGCCCTCACGTCGCGGCCCCGCCGTCCTCACGTTGAGCTCCGCCGCCCTTACGTCGCGGCCCCGCCGCCCTCACGTCGCGGCCCCGCCGCCTCACCTTCGCGGCCTCGCCGCCCTCACCTTCGCAGCCCCGCCGCCCTCACTTTCGCGGCCCCGCCGCCCTTACCTACGCGGCCCCGCCGCCCTTACCTACGCGGCCCCGCCGCCCTTACCTACGCGGCCCCGCCGCCCTTACGTCGCGGCCCCGCCGCCCTCACGTAGCGGCCCCGCCGTCTCACCTTCGCGGCCCCGCCGCCCTCACGTAGCGGCCCCGCCGCCTCACCTTCGCGGCCCCGCCGGTCTCCCCTCCTGCCGAGCCGCCCGAGCAGCCGCCCGCCACGTCGCCCAGTACCAGAGCAGCCAAGCCGCCCAGCAGCAGCCGCCGGGCCGCCTGGCGGCCGAGCCGCAGTTCAGCCGAGCCGCCCAGCAGCAGCCGCTGAGCCGCCGGGCCGCCGAGCCGCAGTACAGCCAAGCCGCCCAGCAGCCGGACGTCCTTGAGGACAGGCAGGAGGAGTTTCAGTGTCTGGCTGCTGCTTCACCTCATCTCGCGTCTGTACTGCTTGCCCCTAAGGGAGACCCGGATGCACTAGACATCCCGACTCCGCGCTCTTACGCGGAGGCCGTAGAGGGTCCCTACTCGTCTCAGTGGCAGGCAGCTATGGATGCAGAGATGGCTTCCTGGAAGTCCACAGGCACCTACGTTGACGCGGTTCCCCCTCATGGGGCGAACATCGTCAGTGGCATGTGGATCTTCAGGGTGAAGCGGCCGCCAGGCTCTCCACCTGTCTTCAAGGTGCGGTACGTGGCTCGTGGCTTCAGTCAGCGGCAGGGAGTTGACTACTTTCAGACCTTCTCTCCCACCCCGAAGATGACCACTCTTCGTGTGCTGCTGCACATAGCCGCTCACCGCAACTACGAGCTCCACTCTCTTGACTTCAGCACTGCTTTCTTGCAGGGTAGCCTGCACGAGGAGATCGGGCTGCGCCGTCCACCTGGCTTCACTGGGACTTTCCCTCCTGGCACCCAGTGGAGCCTCCGACGGCCAGTCTACGGTCTCCGCCAGGCACCGCGTGAGTGGCACGACACACTGAGGACTACGCTTGCGGCTCTTGGGTTTGCTCCCTCTACTGCTGACTTGTCATTGTTTCTGCGCACCGACACTTCTCTGCAGCCGTTCTACATCCTCGTGTACGTCGACGACTTGGTCTTTGCCACAGCGGACACTGCTGGACTCGCCTACGTGAAGTCCGAGCTGCAGAAGAGACACACGTGCACCGACCTGGGTGAACTGCGCAGCTACCTTGGCTTGCAGATCACTCGGGACAGAGCACGCCGCACCATTACCTTAACTCAGTCACACATGGTGCAGCAGGTCCTTCAGCGCTTCGGCTTCACGTACTCCTCGCCTCAGGCCACTCCTCTGTCTACTCGCCACTCGCTCTCATCTCTGCCTTCGGATGAGTCCGTAGAGTCGAGTGGCCCGTACCCAGAGCTTGTTGGCTGCCTCATGTACCTGATGACCTGCACACGACCTGACCTTGCATACCCTCTTAGCATCTTGGCACGCTTTGTTGCACCTGGGAGACACCGACCAGAGCACATGGCTGCAGCGAAGAGGGTGTTGCGCTACTTGTGCAGTACGTCGGGCATGGGGCTAGTGCTTGGAGGGCGGAGTCCAGTGGTCCTCAGTGGGCACGCGGACGCTTCTTGGGCTGACGACCAGGCTACTCAGTGGTCGTC